CTTCCACAGGAACACGTCTCATTCAGTGCATGGAAAGAGCCGTTGGGAGGATGACGCGGGGGCACACAGCAAAATCAGGTCATTGTATGCTGGACTGAAGCCTCATTAGCTGCAAAAAAGCAAAAGCTACAGACAGTACAGGGCCATCCTCTGTCTCTCCTTTCCAAGATCTCCCTCTTCTTCTGCCTGAGAATGATGTAAGAATGGATTTTGAGGAATCTGCTTCCCTGAGATATAAGCAGCCCTGCATTTTGATGAGCAATCCCCTTGCATTACCCCACGCAACACAAGTAAGGGCTACAAGCGCTGACCCTGCTCCTGCTGTAGCTACCTAGCCATGGGCCACAGCTCTGACACTTGCAGAAACCTGTTCAGGCAGGGTCTCAACCACCCACCTGATGGAGAGTAGCTCTAAGATGAAGAGCAAAGGGAAAAAAAAAAAAATCCAGAAAAAGAGAAGGCAGTTGGGGCAGTTGAACGTCACCCCAGTCTATAGCTGAGTGCTCTGGGAATATGTTCTCGCTCCACACTGCTGCAGGGGGGAGCTCAGCCAAGTCTGTTTTGGAAAGTGGGACGCAAGTTTTGAGTACTCAACAGAATAGCCCTCACTTTACATTCACATCATGCACATCAGACGAACCTACCTGAATCAGGACATCACAATTCTTTGTCCCAACTGAAACATCATGAAACATTTAATCTCACGGTCTGGGGTTTTAAGAGTTTAAGAAGTGAAATGCTGCTTTAAGGAAGTTTTAAACTTGTTTGCATAGAGTTGATGCAATACTTCCTCAGGTCAAATCACTCGCAGCGTAGATCTTTAAGTCAGTTTGCAATAGCACAAAGCCATAAAAGCAGTACAGCTGGAGAGGGACAAGAAGCTGCAGATAGTGAGAGCACCCTCGTTTTGACCTAGCAAATACCAGCTTTCAGCGCACCAGTGACTACAGTGCTGACCAGATGGTGGTGGGAGCAGTAGCTTGGATGATGTTAATTACACACAAACTCCAAAACAACTGATGTCAGAACTCACTTTGAAAACACACCAGAATGGGCTGCCAAGCATATGGTAGCAATGCTCCTCTAAAACCGCATTTTGTGCGCATTAAACAACTAACAAGCTCTACCAAGGGGTCCAAGGATAAGCAGCCACGGTGGCAGGGTCCCAGATCCCGACTATTTGATGCTGGTCCCTTTATAACGGCTGTGGAAAAGGCACAGAGGTGTGGTGGAAGTGGCAACCTACAGCTCCTGGAGCAGGTCCTTTGCAGGGTGAGCACACATGACACGTGCCACCAACCCAGCCAGCTCACCTCTTTCAAGGACAAGGCAGAAGCCTTGAAGGAAACATCCCAGGTGATCTGCTGAGCTGCACTGGATGATCTCTAATGAGAGGGTGAGCCCTGCTGTGGAAACCCGCTGTGCGAGCAGCGATCTATACTCTAGTACTTTTTAAAATGAATGCCACGTAGTTTGCAAAAAACACACAGTGAACAGATTGAGGAAAATCATTCTGGCATCTGCCAACCACCACTGAGAACTTCCCAACAAACCTGTCTGTTTTCAGAGGTTCTGTGGAGGTTAGCTTTACCCCAACAGATTATCAGCACCTTTACCTGCAATTTGAAAGTAAAACATAAATTCACTCGGCACCAGCCCGCCAGAATGGACTTGGATAGAGTCAAATATGTATTTGTTTTTCAGAAACACGGTGTAGCCCAAGCTCATGACACAGGGGCCTATATTCTGGCAAATGGCAACTCCAGATAGGATCTACAGATTACAGTTGAACCACGTGCTGGAGCTCCTACCTCTGCTCCAGACTGCTTTCCTTGCCGCGTTATTCTCAGCTCCCCTTCCTCTAGCAGTTACTACCTTGTAACTTTCAGGCTTGCTTGGAGATGCGAGTTGCACAGATCCAAAGGAAAACGGGATGCGAAAGGACAGTGGGAAGTCAGCCAGCCTTTTCTCCTGCCCCAAAGGAAGCTGAAACGTAGCTATTGCTCCAGACAGATGCTTGCTCTTACCAAACCTCCATTTGTGGAAGAGCTACCATCTCCCCACACATCTGTTCAGTGATTCCCTGTCTTTCATTTTATTTTATATTCAGCCTTAGGAGAAACTATCATTCATGCTACCTACAACTTAAGCCCAGTCTAGCATATGATTTCAAGCTCGATTCTTTCAGTGCTTCCTCACAAGTGCATTTTCCCACATTTTCAGGATACCAAATCACGCCACTCTCCACTGCACTCTCTAGTACTAAGCGCAGCATATCAAGTTGCATACTTATAGGTGCTCCTGTGAAGCACGGGATTATCTTGAATCTCACCAAATACATCACCTTTTGTGAACCTTAGCCTGAAGCTTGCTTTTCTACCACCAGCAGGACAAACTGCCAGATCCCTTATATGACATAATGCTAACTAGTCGGCCCAACTCTGAATTTGTGCAGTTGTTTAACCCTATCTAAATTTAGTGCCTTGCTGAAAAGGATCTTGTCTTTCCCCACCATCTCCTCTGTCGTAACGATTTCTACAAGTTGCCAAGACTTTTTTTTAAATTCTAATGCTATCTTATCTTTCACATCTGTCCAGCTTCCTGTTGACTGCAAATTTAACGTGCATATGACTTTGTTATCCAGGTTGCTAATAAAAATGAAAGATAAGTGACCTAGAGCAACTCCCACAACCCCATGCAATACAGCCTTCTGTTCTGACACTGGGTGCAAGACGGAAGGAAACCCCTCCCAGAGCAGAGCTGCTTACAGCCTAGCTCAGCTCACTACCAAATACAATTCAATCTCTGAAACCATGCTTTCCTTTTTTTGCAAACCGCCTTCTGCGTTTGCCCAACCGCCACTACAGATTTTATCCTATAATCATGTGCAAAGGTGCCAAACTCATCATCTGTGAATTTCTTTTGGAGTAGGACTTCAGATCTTATGTGTGACGCAAAGCCTGCCCCATCTGAAGCAAGTTTTAACCAGTAATTCCTTTTACTCCGGTTCTCCTGGGGGATTGCATTAGCATCTGCAGACAAAGCGCACCGATTCTCTTCGGCAGATTTCATTTGCCAGTGTCGCTGCACAGCTATTTTCCTGTCACCTACTATTAAGAGCCTAAACTAGATAATTACTACTTCCATGAAACTTGTTCTTCAGTATCTAAACCCACTCCTTCCTGTTTGTTTCCATGAAAGGGCCATTTAAAGTTTTAACAGCTGGCTTACCAGGAGACCAAATTCTGTGTTACCATAAGCAAATGTATCTGTACCTTCAGCTGGGGAACCCCTTCCTACCCGAGCATCTGGGTAGGAATGTGGCCGTATGCTGACTGACAACAGTGCACCTACAAGGGTAAGTGGAGAACTTTGAGACTAGAGAAGTCAATCCATTGAGATCACACCCTGATCATATTTCAGAGCCAGAATAAATAGTATCTGGTCTTCTACTCTTGCCATTGCTTTATCACTGTCTTATAGCTTCAGTTCTTGGGGTTTTTGTGGGGTTTTTCTTGTTTGGTTCATTTTTTCCCCCTTGACAAAGCACATCTTACCACCTTCTATCCATGCCCTCTGAGGTATTTTCTTCTTCCAGGAGCTTGTCTTCCTTGGGGGGAAGAAGAGCCAAATGGATTGCCACATTAGCTTTCTCACACCATGCCACTACACTTCTAACTAGAGCTTTCACATAGATAAATTAGCTTTTAAGTGATCCCAGTTGTACTATTGGCCTTTGCTATAATCCTGCATTAAACTTGATTCGATTTTACTTACCTCTATTGCTCAATTAAGAAGAACACACAACAAGAAACGGAGTTCCGCAACTAGTAATTGCAGTCCAGCAGGGAGCTGGGCTGTTCCATTACCCACCATGACTGATCATCGCACCATAGCGTGTTTCTACCCATGAGGGGAACTGGCTGTACCTCACTTGCTACGCCATGTAGCCATTTCTTGTAGCAGCAAGAACAGTGATCCTCAGTTGTATAAGGTTATTTCACATAGCTTTGTGCGTGTGTATTATCACCATCTGTATGCTCTGTGCTACACCAGAGCAAGAATCTGTGGGGTGAGACGCACACTGTTACAGGAGCTTCTGAAGGAACTTAAGTCTTTGCTCCAACAGCAACTCCTTTATTTACTCAGCTAGAAAAAGGAGAATGATTTTTGTCAACAGTGAGCAGCTTCACTTTCTCCCATGCAATATATATTAACATATCAAGAACTCAAGTTTTTGCAGTGTTCTTGCACCTTACTTGCACGTAAACCAGTATCAATATCACAGGTCATTGACACTCACAGTTGTACATGTAGTAGGAATCATAAAAGCAAGAAAAAAGTTTAGAGCTTCTCACTGGCAACCCAAACTTTTAAAATTCTGTATAGATACTGAGTTACATAAACTGGTTCAGTAATTAAAGGCCAATTCTCTTTATGATAAAAAGCTGACCCTAATCACCAAGCTGGAGCCTGAGTCATACCTTGCCACAGCCTTTGTCATATGCCTCAAGACATTTATTTCTTATTTTAATCACATTCCATTAGCTGACTTAAAATATGTTGCTGGATTTGGGTGTTATGGCACAAGTTACAGTAGGAGTTGGTTCATTTAAGCAGACTAACATGATGCACTGAAATGCCATAATCTAAGCTTCCCCACTTCTATCCAATTTAAAACCATTTTGAGATTAATTTCCCCCTTGTTCAGGAAAATTCTTATTGTAGCTGAACTAACAAAATAAGTATGTGTTGCAATAGTCTACAATGAATACAGTATTATATTTGACATGATTATAGTGTATGTAATCACCGAGACACCCCTTTAGGATCCAGCATGAGTTATTCCCCAGCTCCCCAGACTAACTTAATATCACTTTTTTTTAGATGACCAGAAATCTGCCCTCCCCTTGCACCCAATTCTGCACCTAAGTACCACAGTACAGAATCTGCCACAGACTACACATTTTCCACTAGTAAAATTCATAAGCAGACACAAGTGCAAAGCAAAATGTCATTTTATTTAATTCAAGGACTATTTTCCTTCTAGTATTGCTGAAGGGATCACCTCCTGGGGAATTGATCATTACAAAGTCCCTGTCTAAAAGTTCAAGTGCTCTTGTTGTACATTCTTTTGAACCACAGAAAACATAATGACCAAGTAGGTGGGCAGCTACTTGCAGTTTTATCCCACCTAAATTAGCATTGCTTCAGGCTAGAAAACAATTCAAGTAGTAAAATCATGGAAAATGTTAACCTTTAAGGTCACTACCATATTTTGATCAAGAAGTCCTGAATGTATGAAAAGAACATTTGTACACGTTATGAAGTTTGGTTTGTTTTTTTTTTTTAACCAGACACTGTTGAAGATGGCAGTTAAGTATTTTGGACCAGTTGTCAACTGGATATTCAAGAGTTCTATCTGAAGGTTTTATTACCAATTTCATTAAGCAATTCACTTTTCACATCAAGCTCTTTAACAAAAGCAACATATACCCGCACCAGAATCACTGTAGACAGATTTAGTTTTATAGAATGCCCTTCTGAAAATTCATTTCAAAATAGAGATGCTTTTTCTCCAGAACTGTAAAAGCCATAAAAATGCAAAATATCTGTTAGGAAATTTTTAATCAAAATTATTCCTTAATGTTCAAAATAACATTTAAGCTCCTACTTTTTTGTTGCCATCCACATATTGATCAATAGACTAAACAGGTAACAATGGTTCACGTTTTTCCCCCACCTGAAACATTTCTTCTAACACAGGCCCAAGATAGGCAATACAGAGATTCAGGGACATGGATTATGCATGGCAAAGGTAATCCTCTAGCATTTTAATTTAGAACAACTCTGATTCTAGCACACAACTTTGAGTCTCAGTTGTTTTCAATCTGCTCTAGGTCCAAGTCCCCACAGTCTAGAGGAAAGATGCCTTCTTCGGTGCTCTCACAATCACTTGTGTCCTCATCGCTTTCGCACACTGCAGCTGCTTTCTTATAATCCCTTGTTTTGAAGCTACCTTGGCATGAGCCATGATGCCTTACTTCATCCAGCTGTTCTTTCATCGGACTGGAACCAGGGGTGATGATGTTCATAAGATCATTTGAGTCACATGGGGATGACACAATTGTCTTCATTTGTGTGTCATCATCATCATCATCTTCATAGTCAAGGGAGCAAAGACTTTTGGAATTTTTTAAAGTCTGCAATTAAAAAAAATACATGAATATATTAACCATGACTGTATAGGAGGAGCAGAATAAATTCCTTAAATTCTTGAATAGATCAAGAGTATGTACTCGAAATTAGAGAATCACATATTTAAAGTAAATCTGGAAACGACGAGGGGCATGAAGAGGAAGGAAGAACAGTATTTACTTACTAGGCAACCTGGTTTTGCACAGATATTTTGCCTATGTAGATTCCCATTAGTGAGAAAAAACTACCAGGCCCCTTTTTTATGCATAAATATCCAAACCCCTGGCTTTAGTCAGCTAACGAGGAACTACAGACACCCAGTTTGATGTATTAGCTTTCTGGCAAATCCAGAGCATAGCATTTGGTAACATCAGCATTTAGGTCAGACAGCTGCACTGCAGCCTAGTCAACAATTAATTTCTCAAATTTCCCAAGCGTGCAGACAATGAGCCCTCGGCCTCACCTCAGAGACAGCAAGAGTCTGCAAGGCAACTGGCATATTTGGGTAACCTCAAAACAGGAGAAAACCAAGCTTCTACTGGAAGCGTCTTGCTCCAGGGTTGGCTTCATTTGTCTTACATTTGGGTACCAACTGAACAAGAGCTCAGGAATTTGAGCAATTCTGTTTAAATGAAAAGTATATGAGAAAGAGGGGCACTTACCTTCGTCTAAATAAAGGAAAAAGGAAAGAAAACCTCAGTAAATGTCCTCCCTCTGTCCCTCAGATAAAGGAATAAAATGCCTAAGCTCCTCATGTAACTGTAAGGGATCCTTGACCAAAATCCAGAAGCAGCATTTAAGAAAAAACAGAACTATACAGACAGCAGATTCTGCCTCATACAAGCACGCAGCGAGAGGAGAGTGAAATAGCCAGAGCTCCTCTCAAGAGGTGGTAAGAGCCAGGAGAATAAAGCTATGCTAGCTTTCAGTATCTTACTGGTTAAGTGACTCCAGTCCCACATACACACAGCAATCTTTTTATTGCAAGTATATCCACAGGGAACAAGACCAACTTTCACATCATTTTCAGCTTCCTCCTCCAATTTGTCATTTCTTAACTATTTTATATTTGTTGATGTATTCAGATGAAATAGGAACATTGCAACATTCCCAGTGTGCTATATTCCAGATGCTCTTCCAGAGCACTGGATAATCTTTCCACTTCACCACTGCACGTCAGCAGCTTACCAATATCTTTGGGTGGTTTTTAGAAAAAACTTCAAGAATTCAGAAGAAATCTGACTTAGCCTTGCCTGTATACAACTGGATGAGGGAAAAGAGAATGGAGAAACCTCACTGAGGTGAAGTGATTTGCCTGACCCTTTAGGGTTGATGTTACATATGGAACATCTTGCAAACAAGCCCACTGCTACGCTGCGAGTTCATATAGTTCCTTGGACATCCCTGCATCAAATCTACATAAAAAGTTTAATTGATGGGAAGTTTGAATAAAGGTAAAAAGCAAGACATTTCAGTTTTGGAGTTCAATCACAGCACAACTAGGCTGAGGAGTGAACAGAAGTATTGCGATGGGATGGGATGGTGGTTCACCATGGCTGGTATCTGTACAAAGGTAAGACTGCAACAGCATTCCCCAAGCCTGCACCACATGAAAACACTTCAGTGCACCACTTTTCACTAGTGATCAGAGGTCTGTTATGCTCATATTGCACACAGCTCTTCTCTTGGTCAAACAGCTTTCATGTCTTATAATATGCATTAAATTGTTCGTTAACAAGCCATAGGTTTCAAGCCAGAAGGATCTATAAGGGATAATCTAGGTTTTTGTGGACAGACACAAACAAGACCTCATTTAGGAGTTCATTTGTGCAACTCTAAGACCTGCATCCAAAGATCAACTTTCAGGAAAACACAAAAAGACAGTTGACCATAGTTCTGTCAGGAGGAATTCACCAAAGTGTTAGCCATAGTTAAAACTCACATCCAATTTTGCATCTAACCAGCACCACCTTGCATGATGAAAAAGCTTTCTATTTCCAAATTTCGCTCCGTTATGAAAACAGTTTTGGTATAAAACACAGTCTTGTTTTCAAAACATTTCTATATAGCTCACTTACAGCTTATTCAAGAACAAACATTTGAGTTCTTATTTATGACTAAGAGGTGTGAATTTCTCTCATATTTGCCTAAAAGGAAAACAGTATATTTTTGAAGTAGAAAGTGTTAGAGGATATTTTAATCCTAATTCTATCTCATTGCTTTGAAAAGAGAACACATTTCCTGTTGTGTATCTCCATATAGGGGACAATATTGTCAGTTCTTTAAATCTTATAGCAGGCACTGGGAAGGAAAAGGATCAAATAAAGTAAAGCTTTGAAAGTTCTGCTTTCGATGTTTTAGAAAGGAATTCCCAAGTCCGCCTTCAAAATATCTTTTATTCAATTTACTGCTAGAAATTAATCCAACCACACAGCTGTCTTTCTAGAAGGTTTGTGTACATAAATGGAAAATTGCCTGTTAGCTGTACTGTGCTGAAATCACTTGAATGGGAACTTTTAGCCGGTTTCAACACAACAGCAAGTGCATTCAACTGGTTCTTTGTTCCCCCACTTGTCACAACGGCACTGAACTAAAAATAGGTGGATTTATTATCTCACAGCACAATCCCACTTCTTTCACAAAGCAAAAGGTAGAAATTGCAATGCATTCAAGCCCTCTAAACTGCAGCTTTACATGTTACACTGGTACAGTACCACACCTTTCAAGCACAATTGTGCTCAGTGGGGAGCCTGCGAGTACTTGCTCAATGGTCCTCATTTTATAAAGGATGCTGGACTAACAAGACAAAAGAGTCCACAGTTGGCAATGGATAGAACTCAATCAGCTAAAAGTATTCTTTTGTGTAATAGGGGGGAAAAAAAAAGAAAAAAGAAACTCAGTTTTAAAAGAAGTGAGGCGATAAAATGTCTGAATATTAAGAAAAAAAACTTTGTACCGAAAACAATGGCAGGGAAGGCAATAAAAGAAATCTCTGTAGACCCTTGCCATACAAAGCAAATAAGAAAGGCCCAGAGTAGCTTGAAAGGAAGCTAAATGTCTGTACTCTTTACTAAACCTCCAGTTCAGAAACCCATAATACATCACTTTCCAAATATAAGAAGCAATAAAAAGGTTGTTTTTGTTTTACTAACAAAACTAGAGCATTTGCTACAGTAGTCAAGGGAAAAATAAGTCATTTATGTGCATGAAAACCTAGCGTATAATGGGAGCAGCAGTTCTCATGCTTCTTCCCCATGCCCCCATCATACACCAAGTCCACCCATTTTCCCCCTCGGTTTTGAATGGGGGTGGAAGATACAGCTGCTCTGAAGAGCTGCAGCTGCAGCAGCCAGCACAAAGCAAGGAGCAGAGGGAGCCTGAAACCACCAGAAGCCCTAAGCCCATCCCGCTGCTTCTCAGCACCAGTCGTCACAATAGGGTGGACTGTTCCCTGAAGCCATAGGCTTCATCAGACAAATTAGACTAGTTATCTGACTTGCCTTCTCTCCTACCCTGAGACTTTTGCCTATGACACAACACAAGAGATGCTGCTTTAGGAGATAGCGGCACATAGGGTTTCTTGACTATTAAGGTCTCAATGAGGGATATCAAACACGTGGGTGATACAGTGGCCGTCACGATAAAGAGATCCTGGAATTTCTTGGAATATCAGCAGCGAATCCAAGTAAAAGCACCGAAGAAGCAGCCCAAGCATGGAGCAACATGTGGCTTTTTCTGCTGCTTCCCTGTACCTAGCCAGTTGATGGAGATGGGGAAGGAACACATTAGATGGGCTGCATTTCCCTTTGAGGGATTCACAGGTCCTTATTTCACTTCCTAGACTTTTGTTTCCTATAGATTAGTCAGACTGGCTCAAACCCAAATGCCTTTACTGTTGGTAACTCATACCACAGGTAAGTTTGAGATCAGAAGCACCACATACAGCATGATGTGTTCCTGTCTCAGACACTAACCTGTCCCCAAAGAGGTTACAGTTTAGCCTCAGCAATAACAAAGTCCAACCATGCTACAAATTTGTTAGAATGAAGTCTCTTCTCTTCAATGTATGAAGCTAAGAGGCAGACTGAAGGAAGGACTTCAATTAATAATAAACTGTCACAAGAGGCTGGTCCTAAACAGCTCATTGAATCACATGAAAAACTGCCTTCTGAACATACCGTCACCTGACTGACATCACATCTTACCACAAACAGTTGTGAACAGTGTCCTCCCCTGTAAACTGAATTTTCACTTCATGCATTTAATTACTTGTATTAATACCATTACCTGTGACAATTCAACTTGGAGACATGTACAGTGTTCATTGTAAATCGTTGGAATCTCAGCTGGTTGTATAGATTAAAAAAATACCCCATCACAGACTTAATGCCTGCATCTTCTACTGTGCATAAAGTGAAAAAACAGTAAGAAAAATGCTGTGTTTATGTACCAAACTATTAATCTTTCTGTGGAGTAAAGCTCTGGACATTTGACTTTTCTATCTTGAATAGCAACTGAGCATTTTGTGAAGACTCCAGTGTTCACAGATAACCTTAGCTTTAAGAAGCTTGCAGTTGAGAACAAACATAGCTTCATCGGTATAAAGTAGTGCTGACAGGAGGAAAACAATATAGTATTCTTCATGATGTTATATGCCTGAAGTTTGTTAATACACTCTAAAAGCTAAAAACCAAAGTTAACTGGGAAAGAATTCCTCCCTGCTTAAGTAAGAAAGCAAAGGTGTAGAAATACATGAAGTGTCTAAAAATTTTTTCAAGTCAAAAACCATTTTAGATCTTTAAATCATGCATCTGAAATAAATCAAAGGAGAAGTCATTCTTTTTCTTGCATTAAGCTACAAACCAAACAGTTAAAAACATTTCTATTTACGTATTTTGTGGAAACAGAATCAAATCCCTCGAAATTTCCCAACACCTTGGAGAAATCTGAGTTCTGATCAAATTCCTTTTGGGAACCAAACATGTTCTTCATTTTTTGTAGCTCT